CCTGGATGGAATTCGTTTTTGCGAAAATACAGGAGAGAAACATATGCGGATCCAGGGCGATTTCCGAGAAGGGGAGCTGGAAGGGGGGAGAAGGCGATTTTTCTTCTGCACTCCCTCCTTTCGTCCGTCACTAAATCGGAAGTTGCACCCTCCCCCTAGCCATAGCGATCGGAGGGGGGGGGGCGAGGGGAAGGGGGAAGAAAATGGGGCACCTGGAAGGGAGGGGGGTTGGCGACAAAAGATGTCGAAGAGAGTTTTCTTCCCATGGATCTGCCAGTGGGTAGAAATGAACTCCCTATTTTTACTTTGTCCCGATCCATCGAGTTGTAACGTGTTAATAATACTACCTCTGACTCGTGTGTTCCACAGGTAGTAGCTACAACATATATATCATAGTGTGTGACGTTGCTACTTCAGCCAATATGCATTTTTCAAATTTTTTTTTGCCGGAGGGGCGGAGGCCGAGGGGGGGGGAAGGTTCCAAAGAATTTTCAGTTCTGTGCTAACGAAACGCTGCAGGATACGAGTAAATTATGCATCTTATACATGTTTAGTACGATTATTAGTTGCCGCACAGCATGCGGGGTGCGGGAATTTATAGCGCCACTCACTTGTACAGAACTCTACTGGAAGTATTAATAATGCTTTTATTCGGGAAGCTTTTGTTTCTCGTACCTACAGTTCTTAAAAATAGTAATGAAGCGCCAAAAGTGATTTCATTACGTAATAAGTGCTTCTGTAGGTGAAAATATTTATGGATTTTTAGGCGTCGTGGTCCACCAATCATGATAGATGATGAAGAATCGGCCGAAGAAGAAGAAGCTGAATTCAAGCCAGTTATGCCTGAGAAAAGTACAAGCGCAAAGAACAGAGCAGAAACTACGAGTAGTCAAAAGACGAAGAAAAAAGGAAAGTCGTCGAACGGCAAAGCAGCCCAGCAGGAACCTCTTTTTATGAGTTTGTTTTTAGCAGTATCGTTTTTAATAATTCAGTGATTCGGAGTATCATTCTACCCAAAATATATGTATGTGTGTATATATGAATTCCATAGGCGAATCCAGGTGCTACTGCAAAAGCTAGGAACACTGCTACTTAGAGTTCAGAGTCATTCAGTATCGGTGCAGCCCTTACTGGTTCCTACTTCCTTTCACCCACAGGGTCCAGACGGCCCGTGGGATCTTTTACTTACTTTAGGCTTTAGTTTTAGCTTCAGACCCGAGCTTTTGCAGCGCTGGTGCCTGTGCCACTGGGGGAGAGCGGACGCAAGGGGGCGAAAAAACCCTTCGCTCTCTGCCCTGGATCCGTTTACAATGGGTTCAAACTATCGCGAGCATTCGGGACAGAAAATCCCTCTGCGATTCGTTCATTCGTTTCGATGGTAAATTGGTACTGGAGTATGCCAAGGAGTCAAATCTGCGCCGTCAGCTTACTTCTAAGCAATTCTCGCAAAAGATCGGTCGATAGCCTTACTAGCGAGTGCCTGTTTCTGGCCCTTGTTTTTATTCAGGCTACTTTTCGAGTGCCTTTGCTTCTTATAGAGGGCGAATACGGATGGGTTCTGTTTTTTTAATATCTCTTCAGCTGTGCGTTTCCATGGTTGAATGTCATTTCAAAGCATGATTACGATGAGCAGATTGATATAATTATTACTGTATTCGAAGATTCAGTGATGCGTGATGGCCAGTGCGGCAAACAAGGGATCTCTTTTTTGCACGAAATTTTTGCGGTTTTTTTTGCAAAAACAGCATTTTTTAAAATTGGGATTAAATGGCTTTTAGCGCAGAATGATTTGTTTACTGACGGTGCATCGAGTCCGGAAAAAATGGATACGGATGAAGCAGATGACACGATTGAAACAGAGGAAGAGCAGAAATATGAGGAAATGCCGAAGAAAAAACGCCCCTCTGGTAAGTATTTATATGTGACCGTGCTGCTTGGTATTTTACGAGGAGATTTCCTGATGTTGTTTGAGGAGTACTTGTAACTGTGTGGAATTATAAGCGAATCCAGGACAGACTCCTGGGCGGGAGGTGTGGGCGACGGCGGGTAGGGGAGGGGAGAGTGGGGCTCATGGGACGACAGGGGATGGGGAGGAGAATCCCCTTCCACTCTGGAACTATGCAAAAACTAGGAATAGAGTTCTATCACTGCTTCTTATAATTACTTTACGGTTTAGTTTAGTTTTAGCTTTAGATTTGGGCGTTTGCAGCATGAGGTGATCCATCGCTCCCCTCCCCCCTCCCACCCTCCGCCCCGTCCATGGATCCGCCTTTATGTGGAATAGGAAACTAGCTTCCAGAATTCACTCTGTCTCTGTGTTCAATAAATTTAGGTCTAAGTTCATGTCGATGTCAAGAGGGTGGAAACTCCCATCTTTAGTTTGCCTGATATATGAAAGCACTGGGAAATAGCTTCGCACATGCAGATAAGAACTACGCGAAGTTACAAGGCGGGGAACTGATTTTCTCTTTCGAAGGTTGCTTATTAATAAGCAGGCTGACAGCGGATTTGAGTCCAGGGCAAGCTCTAGTGCTAGTTGATCATCGAAACGAATAACCGAATCATAGAAAGTTAGGTTATCTCATTGGCGGCCCCAAACTCTTCATCTTTAATATTAGAACATTTAAATTTGGTTCAGCATTATAAAATTTTAGCTCATGGGTTCATAGACTTGAGATTGAGCTTATTTTGAATCACTCGAAGTAGCCAAAATCTCGAAGTATCGCTATTTGGTACTGGTACATCCACTCATTAGTGCATCCGCAGCAGTGGATCACGAAAGTTTCATGATATTGAGCTTTTTTGCTGCCCAGAGATGGCGTATTTGTGACATGAAGCTGAGGACTAAAGAGTCATGGCATGGAATCTCCTGGCACGTTTTAAAATCCCACGATTGAAATCGGCTTCCCAACGCTTCTGTATTTCGATGATCTTATTGTGATGTTAAATGAATAACTGAATTTTTGCAAAGAAATACATGATTTTTAGCTTGTATTATGAATAGAGCTAAGACCGATGAAGCGGAAAATGGTGATACGCAGAACACCAAAGAAAAGCCAACAAGAATGGAGCGTGTAACGGAAACATTTCTGGATAGCGATGGTTTTATGAGTAAGTTTCTGAGATTTGCTGAAAAATTCTCCTTTTTCATAGTAAACAAGATACATTATACACATACA